CTGAGGTAAATGTCTCTTCTTCCCATGTTCCCTTGTTGTACCTGGTGTTTTGTTTACGAATCCTACCGACGAGGCGATCTTAGTCTCGGGCCTTGACAACAGTCGCCAGATCATGTTGGGGGAAGGGTTATAGCGCGGGACTCCAGGTGTTTTTTGGTGACGTTACCTTGGGAGTTTAGTTGGTTCGGTGGTTCGAGTTTAGTCGGCCGTAGCTTAAATGGACTTTCCAAATTGGGTCTTCGGCCGTATTTCTGTTCTCTTGAGTGTCATTGGGTGTTGGTTCACGTGGTGGTGGCTCATAGCGGTCACTCGCTGGTGGGGAGGGCTTCAGTTAGTTTGTAGGATTTGTGTTTTCTGTCTAGTATTGTGGGTGTTATGTGTTTTCCAAGGTTTTCTTGTTGGTATTTATTCTCCTTCTAAGAGTTGTATTCTACACTAGTGGGAGTGTTGTATTATCGTGGGTAAGTTTGTGGTAGTATATAGGCTTCATTTTGGATTGTCCTCCCACTAGATTCAGTCGTATAGCTGCTTCATTCGATTGTTGTTGGTTGGGTTCTAAATTGTAGTTATGTCTTGATATATGAAACTCTATCTTNAAAAAAAAAATAGTTGTGTTATACTATTGTAACTTAAAAAGGTTTATGCAAATTTGGAGAAGATTGATGTTTTTTTGTGTATGTAGCCTTTCTAGATTGATAGATTGTAAAAATTTGAATATTACTTTAAAGTCTTAAAAAGTTTTAGAATTCCAAATGAATATGCTCCTTTATCTATATGTACCTATCATAATTATTTATAATGACGTGTTTTACCCATGGTTTAAAACCGGACTGGACCGATCAGTTTGATCGGTTAGACCGAAAACCGGTCAGGTGATCGATATTGTTTGCTGAAATGAACGTGTTGCCAACGTACTGGTCAAAAATCGGTCAACGACCGGTTGAACTGTACAACACCGGCCGATTGAACCAGTTAGAACCAATCCAGTTTATTTATTTTTTTATTTGATAAAATTTTATATGTTTAAAAATACTTTTATTATAAACAAAGAATACATATATAAATATAGACATATATAATATTTAAATATAATGGATATATGTAAGTTAGTTATTAGTTAATTTAAGTATTTAAATGTTTTAAATTATCCAAATATTTAGTTATCAAAGTTTTTTTATATATAACTATTATTATATAAAATATTATATATTTAAAATTTTAATAAATTTAATAATGGTCCAACTGATTTAACCACTGATCGAACAGTTATACATTGAACCAGTGCCATGACCGGTTCAATGACCAGTCCGATTTAACCCTCAATATCTGCAGTACGGTCAATCAACTTTAACCGTAATCTATATCTATATAATTGTAGGCTATCCAATTAATGCGGATAGCCTACTTTTCCCGCCCAAACCATTTTGAGTTTAATAAGGTAACTTTTTATTAATTAAGTTTGATTATATTCTATTAGTTATTCTATCATACAGTAGTTTTTACTAAAAGCAATTAATTATAATTCAACTAAATAGTATATGTAAATTACATAATCATAAAAAAATATATTACACTCTTTCGATCTATTTATTCTAAAACTAATATTAGTTTTTTTAATTATATAATTAATTTAATTGCATGAAAAAAAAACCCCTTTATACAATTTAGGTGATAAATATTATTTTTTTTCTAAGTAATTAATTGGTCATGATCCATCAAAATAACAAAAAAATATGTTAAGTGTTATATTTTATACACATCATTTAATTTATAATTTTATTGTTCATTTATTAATAATCAAATTTAAAAAATGTGTTATATACATTATCTGTTCTATAATTTTAATATTATATATACACATCATTATAATACCTTATAATTTATATTTATGCATGTGCACAGGATCAGCTACTAGTAAACTCGTAAATTTTGATACCCCTTAATAAAATAAAAGTATTTTGAGTTTAAAAACTTTATAAAATATGCTTTTCTGTCATAATTGTTTTTTTCATTCATCTTTTATTAAGAAAAAAGTATTAATCACCATTACACATTTTTTCAACTATTCAACCAACCATTAATTTTATTATCTTTAATCTTATCAATTTTCAACATATGTTTTAATAGTATAACGCATACGCGCGAGTGAAAAAATCAATAAAGATCCGTATTTGAAAAGTAGTTCAAGCATAAGGACAGGTCCAAATCCAAACATTGATCAATATTAGGTAATTGAGAGTGATGTTAGGCGAACCTGAAAGAATCAAGGATGGACTATAAAACAAGAAGGCAACCAGATTTTTTCTTTTTTTTTTTACAACTCATGATTTCAATGTTTACGAATAGACATGTCCTTGCTTTATATCCAAATGTTTTGCACGTTTTTTTTATTAGTTTTTGTATTTTAATTTATTTTATTCGCTCCAGTTCATATGATCTTGTCTTATGTCTTATAGATTCTTCGGCATTATGTGTTTTTATATTATTTGCGTATTAAATTCTTTGTATTTTTCATCAATTTTTATATTTTATTTTGTAGAAAAATGTTGTCTTAAAGTAGTAAACGTTCTAAAGTCGTAAACTTTTATGTCTTATGTCTTATATATTATTTGAAAAGTCGTAAACGTCGCGCGGGGCGACGGGTCTACGTCAGGCGCGTGGCCTCGCGCCCATGTACGTGCGCTGCGCACACACCCTACCTTTCATCCGCACCCAACACGCCAACGATGTGTGCTATTACATGGATGCATCTAGAAGTGAATTCCGACCTCGTTTCGAATCCGTTTAAATAGCAATCCAATCATACCATTAGGACATCCTTTGATCACACCAAGAACATCCGAGGACCGATTCAAAAGATCACGGACACTAACAACTTGTTGTAAATATTTTTCTTAGGACTTTTCTCCATTTTGCTTTTGCCTCGTACTCGAACTGTTACAGCTTAATCCGTGGACAACGAAAGCTTGTTATTTATATCATTACTGTATGTTTTCATTTCTCTATTCTTATTGTTGAGTGAATGCGTGTTTCAATTTCGAGTAACCTGAAATTCCAACGAGCATACGTTAATTCATCTACTTAGGGCTATGAATTTTTTATTCTCGTCTCAAATTTGCGTTGAATGTGTGGTGTTCTTACCTTTTCGAAATGCTTGAATCGAATTTGCATAGAATATGTGGTATTCACTTGTTCGAATTACTTGAATATCATGATTAGTTACTTGATCAACATCTAGTTTGGATTGATCACCTATAAACTGAAAGGCGATATGATATCCAACCATGATTCGAATAGGGTAGACATGTTCGTAATTGTATCGTCAATAGGTTTATTAGCGAAATACATATTTGTCTAGGTGCGAAGTCGTGTTTGTAAAAGTAATGAGTGCGGATCTCTAGGATTGTGTGGATGATATTATCTATTCCTTTAAGTTCAATCTCTTGTTACGATAGTTGTTAGGACAAACAATACATTCTCCACATCAACAAGAATGGGACAAACAATTACATTCTCCACATCAACAAGAATGGGACAAACAATACATTCTCCATATCAACCTTGATTAGAATATTTAAGATTTTATTTAATTTAAGAGTGAAGAACATTAATGACACAGTGGCCTTATATTCATCAAAGAAAGAAAATGTCAGCTCAATGTTTTTCTTGATCTTCGTCTCTTTTCTTATAGGAAGACGGGTGGGAGAAGTCCTAGGGAGCTGGTATTGACGAGGGAGAAGAGTACTATAGCTGACGCCGACGGTGAGGGCAGACGCGAAGGTGGCGGCGGACAAAAGAGAGGACTACCAAACGGCGGCGCTGTTGGGCAGGGATAGAGAGTGCGGTGGGAGAGTAGCGTTCGTGCGGGAGAATGAGAGAGAGAGATAGAGGGTGATGGAGGTGGGGCCGATGGGTAAAGATAGGGTGGGAGGGTTGATAATGTCCAAAATACTCTCCATGAGTGAAACTTTTGTTTTTTTTTTTTCTTGTTTTTATTATTATTATCTTTTTATGTTGGATTATCAGATCTTATGGTTACGATGTATTCATATTTCTTCAATCATAATCATTCTAAGTAGAACTCGTCCTTATATGTATTACAAGAGTTGGTAATTAGACTCAAATAATTTCAAAAAATACACTACTGTTCACTTTTTTTTTTCCACGACAAACAAACAAACTTTTATAACTCACAAAGGAGAAAATCGAGAAACCAAATAATTACAAAATTCTTGAAATCCACTAGGTAAAATCAAGACCTGCGGGCAGTGAACACACTACCCTCAAAGGCAACACAAGCCTAGAAGCAAGAAAGAAACAGTAAGTCTCAATAACAATAAAAATAGTTCACAATGCCTAAGCTATTTCTCTACAAAATTTATTATTTACCACTCGGCTATTTCTATCAACTTAATTTATCACTATATTCTCCTGACAAACTAAAAGTTTTCTCATTTCTTTTAACGTTAATATTTTCATGACTTCTATTCGTTCGGGCAGAACAAAGGTGACAGAAATTGGGGGAAAACGGGTACGGTCCCACTAACATGAAGCGCACCAAAGCGGGGAAAGCTCATATGAAGCCCAAGTGGAGTAGCCCATTAGACTTATAAAGTGAGTCTATTAATGATGTGGGACAATTCACAAGTGATATTCTAACAAAAAGTTTCAAAATTTTTACATCTAACTGTGTTTGTGGTCTGAGATATCTTATATAGATAAAAGGATTGCATTCGTATTTGGCATATCACATCTACAGACGTCCACCACATAAATTAAACCCACGTTTTTATGCATATTTAGTGGTAGCTAGCTAGATTAAGAATATATCTACGTATGTGACTTCATCATAGCCAAAACATTTTTTTTTTCTATAAATATGTGTAATTAGTATTGAAATTATCACACCACTTCCATAGACATATCATCTACATAAACACTTGAGAGAGAGAGAGTAACTGTGCAATTATCTGTTTATGGAATCCTCAATTAAAAACTTAATGTCGATCCAATCCCTAGTTAGCGAGGTTAAAAATGAGATTTTGTGCTCCGGCGATTATGATAATATGGTACATGAATTTGTATCTCATTGTTTTGCTTACGACATGGCTTGGCTGGCGATGATTCCCGACAGGGAAAATAGAAATGGTCCAATGTTCAAGAGTTGCCTGAATTGGATTGTCGAGAACCAGAAAGAGGGAGGGTTTTGGGGGCAAATTGAACAAGACGATAACCTCCCCTCCGTCGATGCTTTGCCTGCAACTCTTGCTTGCTTAGTGGCTCTCAAAACATGGAACGCTAGCCAACATCATAACTCTATTGAGAAAGGTAATGAAATATGTTCAAGGTGTATTGTAGAAAACAGGGGTGTGATTTTATATGAATTTGATTGGTTTTGATTAGTTTTTTTTTTTGTTAATTATAATTAATTTTAAGAAATGTGGTATTATTAATTAGTTGCTACTTGCTACTATGATTTTTAGTTTATACAAAAATAATTTAAATCGATTTGATATAAAAGTAGAAGAGAGATGATGTGCAGTGACAACTTCTTAAAATATACGGGTGAATAAATATTGAAATAATGTTGATGTATTGATTGATTGATACTTAAATGTATGGTTGATATTGTGTATAATAAGGTTGATTTAAATATCAGTTTTTTTTTTTAATTCTTATTATTGAATTTATACCTAATCACACCAATGTGTTTTAAATATGCTTAATAAATTTGTCAGGCACACTCGTACTTACACACCGATCATGATTACTTTGGTAGTGTTAACAATGTCAATGTGTATAAGTGCAATGCGTACCGACAAATTGTACGAATTTACTCTACTTTTGTTTAACTCTCTATTTCGTTTATCTTTTAATGATATATTATTTGATAAACTATTAATTAATTTACCTTTTTTTTCAAATGCAAGATAAACTTTATTTAATGTAAATTATTATTTTTTTTATATAGTCAATAAGGATAACAACTATAGTATAATATTATATTATGTTATTAAATGTAAGATAAATTTTATTTAATGTACACATTATATACATATATGTAGATATTAATTGATTACATATACAATTATCCATATTAGGAATCAAAATAATATATTGTTATAAGGTATGAATAAGGGAAGGGAATGACAAGTATTTCGTGATTATTATTTATTTATAATATTTGAATATGTTCAAATTTTATTTTCCTTAATTCTAAACTAAAACTCTAAAATGAGTGCTACTTTATAACGACTGAAATAAACTTATAAAAATATATTAAATTATTTTTATATCATTAAAAAAAGATAAATAATAGTATTAATATTCAGATTTATTTTTATACTGATCAATATTTCTTCATTTTTTTAGTTCACGGTTTATCACTATTCATCACACAAGCTACAATATTTCTTCATATAAAGATAAATATTAGTATTTTTAGAACCGAATATCAATAAAATTTCAGCTTTGTATTTCTAATATGGAAATTTTGACGACAAAATGTCCTTTGAATTTCAAATATAAACTTATTTTTCATAGATATATGAATGACATAAGTGTTCATTATGAATTTCAAATATAAGCTTATTTTTAATAGATATATGAATGACATACGTGTTCATTACCGAAATACATTGAAATCATTGCAGGTTTGCGTTTTATCCATTCCAAGGTGGACGCAATCTTGAAAAATAACTACCAAAACCTCCCACGTGAATTTATTCTATCCTTTCCCGCCATGATTGAATTGTCGATCGAGGCAGGTCTTCATCTTGTGTTCTCTCCTAGAGCAAGTGACATGGTAACCAACATTTTCATCAACCGACATCATATTTTGGAAACGTACGTCACTTCTATTTTATTTTTAAATCTCTCTCTCTCTCTATATGTAATTCTTTTTAAGAAAAACCTAAAATATAAAATATAATTAATTAGTTATCAATGTTTAATGGATCAATACCCAAAATTTGTAGGGAACTACTAAAGATGAACAAATCCGGTTACTACAATCCTCCATTACTAGAACATTTGGAGACATTGCCGTCCAAGTACTACTTTGATCGACCCGAAATCGTTGAACAATATTTGAGCCACGACGGGTCAATGTTTCAGTCACCGTCAGCCACGGCTCGAGCATTTATGATAACTGGGAACCTTGATTGCATGATATATCTTGAATCTCTCATTCGAAACTTTACCAACGGAGGTTTGTTATGTATTCGGTACTTCTTTTTTCATTTTATGTTATGTTTGGTAAGGTTTAAGAGATAAAGATATCCGTGTATATGTAACTTTGCAGTATCCTCAAAATACCCTATGGATGGAGACCTACTTAAGCTATGCATTGTAGACCATTTACAAGGATTGGGTCTAGCTGAGCACTTTGGTGAAGATATTGAGAAAATCCTTGCCCAAATTTATAGGTATGTAGAGTACCAATAGCTCTTACTATGTTTTGAGACAACCGTTGAGCAATTTGAAACATCTTATAAGTACCTCTCACGCACATTCATGTTTTTGGGGTATAATTTATAAATTTTTTGTTTTCATAATCTTGTAAATTTATGGGTAAATGTATACATATTCGTTAAAAAAGTATAACTTCTTAACGTATAAACCCACTTAACAGTAGCCCTACTAATTGATGATAATTGGACACATAATTTCAAATGAGTGGCAAGTGGTATACTTTTAGACTTTGTTTTCTCTTTTATGTTGAAACGATGTAGTGTCTTATTCAGATATTGCTTCAAAGACAAACAAAGTTTGCCTCTCGTTTTATTCCTACTTGTCTCCGTCTCGAGTATTTTCTTAGTTTCCTCTAAGAATTTATTCTCAAACTTTTTATTCAACTGATCTTTTAAATCATCAATCTCTACTTTGCTCTTTGATGCAACCAGTATGGCATCCACGTACAGAAGTAAGTAAATAAAAGATACATCTTGTTGCTTGCGTAAATACACACAATGATCATGTATACTTCGCGTGTACTTCTGCCTAATCATGAACTTATCAAACCTATCTCGGAGATTTATTCAATCTTTACAATGATTTGTTCAACTTGCAGACTCTTTTTTATTTTTCTAAGAATTTTGAATACTTCTGGCTGAGTGATATAGATCTTCTCATGTAAATAGTTGTGCAAGAACATTGTCTTCACGTGTAGCTCCAAATTCAACTGACCTGATAAGGCCAAAAAATTCTAATCGAAGAGATCTTAAAAATTGGAGAAAATACTTCATTAATCAGTTCATTCCTTCTAACCGTAGCCTTTAGCCACCAATGTTCCCTTGTATCGCACATCATTCTTATGAGAAAATTCATTTTTCTTTACAAATCCCCACTTGCATTCTATCGTCATCTTGCCTTTTGGTAGTTGTGTCACCTTCCAAGTTTGATTCTTCTGGAGAGACGACATTTCTTCCTTCCATAGCCCATTTCCACTTTTCATTTCTAATTTTTGAATTGCATGTTGAAAAGTGTGAGGTATGTCATCATCAATAATTGGAGGTGTTTAAGCCACCATATCCGCCAATGAAGCAGGTTGTTGAATCTCTTGCATGGAATTTCTCAATGCATTGGGCAAACTCTAATGATTCTTGTGCCTGAACTTTTTCTTCAACAATCGATGAACCCTCTGATATTGGATCGTTGATCATAGTTGGTTCCCATAATCGCATCTATTTTCACCTATTTCGATTTCAGCTCACCCGTTGAGTATGTGTCGTCTTTATCATAACTTGTTCATCAAATTTAACATCCCTCATAAAAATAGTTTGTTCTTCTCAAGACATCAAAGACGATATCTCTTCACGCCAGCTGTGATTCTCATGAATAAAGCATTTTCTTCTGGTATGATTCCCAATCTGTATCTTTTACCAAGCACTTCATCATACTTCTTCATAGTGTTCACCCAATGCGTCTGAAAATGTCATTATAAAAGTGACAAAATAGCGTCTTCTGCCCAAAGATGGGGTCTTAGGTCTCTAAATATTCGAATGAAGATAATCTAAGACACCTTTGGTATTATGAATAGTTGTTCCAAACATCACTCTCTTCTGCTTTTCTAGAACACAATGCTCACAAAAATATAGTTTGCATAATTTTACATCTTTCAACAGTCCTTGTTTTGTCAATGTATGAAAGATTTTTTTTTTCAGCATGTCCCAAACGCATATGCCAAAACTTGACCTCTTCAGTTTCATTGTTGATGGACTATGTTATTGTTGATGTATTTCATCATGATGAGTGAGCAGGATGTTCCCATCATAACTTCATATTGAAAAGTCACTACCAAGCCTTTGAATTCCTTGGCTCCTAATCTGATGAGGTCTCTTTTCAAACTTGACACGTATCAAGCATCCGTCGAAACTCTTATGGATCCATCATGATTCTTCCGACGAGATTGAATCTATGTAGATTTTCTTACAGGCATTATTATTACCCATATAGACAACTCCTCCACTGATCTACTAAACTCTGTTTGTCTAGATGAGACGATAAAAGTTAAACCACATGTGAAACTTTAGAGTCTTCACTTCCATCTTTGGAAACATATGCATCTTGATGAAATGTGTCTTTTCTTTTCAACTTTGGACAGTCTTTCTTCCAGTTTCCTTTCTCATGAATGAAAGAACACCTGTCTTTGTCAAGTTTGGACTTGGAACGTGTTCTTCCTCGTCTATTGTTAATTTGGCTCTTCGACTAACCTCTTGCAACCAACCCTACTGATGTTGTTACATTATTATTCTCTTGTTTGTTTTTCTCACTCAACTCATAGATATATAGAGCAAAGCTGACCACTGCAAAAACTACAATCTGCTTCCCTTGAATCAGTCTAGTCTCCAAGTACTCAAACTCATCGGGAAGAGATGATAACAACATTAGAGCCAAATCTTCATCGTTGAGTGTGACGTCCAAGTTCAAAAAATCTGCAACCAACTAAATGAATGTTGTGACATGGTTATTTATTGATGTGTCATTCTGGTACTCAAATTAAAACAATCCTTTCTTCATGAGGAGCTTATTATAGCCACTCTTCTTTAGAAATTTGTCCTCCAAAACCTTCCACGGGTTGTGTGTAGAGTTCACATTCTCAATAGCATACTTCTTCTCTATGGACAAACATGAATAAATTGTTACACATGTTAAGCGGTTGATATTCTTCCAGTACTTCTCCTCAACATTGTCTGGCTTCTCTTCTTCGGTAGCAATGTCTACGCCTTGCTGAAAGAGACAATCCAGCACTTTGCCTTGCCATATGCCGAAATGACAGGTCCCATCGAAGATTTTCACCGGGAGTCTGATGTTCGGCATCGTCATCTTTGCCCGAATGAGTAAAGAGGATGATGCGACCTTGATCTCCTGCCATCACAAACTTGAATGCAGTTCTTGCTTCACTGAATGAGCCTAAGACAATCATTCGACTCTAATACCACTTGTTGGGGTATTACAACAAACACAGCGACAAAAACACCCTCATAATAAATATTGGCAAGCACCATTACTAACGAAAATAAACAAATTCAAATAAATAAAAGACAAGAAAGAATAAGAACACACAAAATGAATAACGGAGTTCGGCTAATGTTGTCTATGTATCAGGGCATTGTCAACTGCAACGCCAAATTCACTAAACTCACAAAACAAAATACATTTAAGGTTAAATAACCCACAAATTAGAATTTTATTAATTAAAGAGTTTCTTCTAAGATATGAGAGAAGAGAATAAGGTGCATCTCGACCTATTTATACTAAAGAGGCACATCTTTGGTACATATCCGTTGAAAGATAAATATCAATTGAAATTTAAAATTAAAGACGTCAACAACTTATATAAAGATAATACATAACAACTTATCAGCTCTAAAATAATATTCTGAAAGATATCGAAGTTTGAATGAATTTTTGGTTACTCTTATAATACAAGCATTGTAGGGATTCGAATTCATCAAAAGCTTATGTAATTTCACTTCTCATTTTACTAACTTATGTAATGTGCATTATGTCTGCAAACAAAATGATAACAAAAGTATATCATATCTAATGTAGCATATGATGATGGAAAGAAAATAAAAGATAATGCAGGGCACAGTCCTGCTTTCCAATTCATTCCTCAAATTTAGATCTCGTNNNGCAAAGGATTTTGTAATTTAATATACATATAAATTCCCTGCTAGATTTAATCTATTATAAACATGTATTTTACCTTGTTCAGTAATCAAAAGGATTATAATAATCCAGATAGGACAGAGATAGACATGGTCCATAAGTTATTCAAAGATGCATTGGCTTTTCGGCTTCTGCGAATGCAAGGGTATTTGGTAACTCCAGGTATATTATATTATATCACACTATAGTGCCATATATGTTGTTAATAAAAACATTTGAATTGCTCGAATCATATACGCAGGAAGCTTCTGCTGGTTTTTGCATGAACCCGAAATCATGGCATACATTCAACAAAATTCGGAAAGGTTCACTTGCGTAATGTACAATGTATACAGAGCCACTGATTTACAATTTCCAAGAGAGGCTGAAATGGAAGAAGCTAGAAAGTTTTCCAGAAAATTACTCGATAACATAAGTACCACATATGGAAATTCCAACTTATTTTATTCGAAAGGACTTCAGAATATGGTAAAATGCATTTGGGCCTCAAATTTTAAATATAAACTTTGTTAGTGATATTCATTTGGTTGCCAGATTTCAATTTAGCATGACTAATTTCTTGTGACAGACTATAATTTTTACTTCATGTAGATTATGTACGAGTTGAACGTTCCCTGGACTGCTCGTCTCAACCATCTTTATCATAGGAAGTGGATTGAAGAAAATAGAACTAGCCCTCTGTGCTTTGAGATGCCTCCTTTCTACCGGTATGTATATAATCTCACTTATTTAATTTCCTTTTTTGAATATGAGAAAATTAATATTGTTCTTACATGGTTTTGAACATACAGGTTATCTGGCCCCAAGAACAATAAGCTACTGCAGTTAGCAGTGGAAAACTATGAATTCCGACAACTGATATATAGACGAGAGCTGGAGGAACTTAAAGGGTATATATATATATATATATATATATATATTCTGAATCATAATATTATTTTATTTACCTTAACCTTACCATGGTGGCCTTTTTCAGTAATAAGCTATGCTTTTATACTAATGTTGTCATGAAAAAATGTACGCAGCTGGTCCAAGAAATGGCTACTTAGCGAGATGGGTTTTGGGAGGGAAAAGTCGGTGTATACGTATTTTGTAATGGCTACTAGCAGTTGCTTTCCTTTCAATTCAAACATGCGATTAGTTGCAGCAAAGGCCGCCATAATCGTCACTGTTGCCGATGACTTTTACGATATGGAAGGTTCATTGACTGAGTTGGAAACCTTGACCGACGCAATTAGAAGGTTGAGCAAAAATTGTACCTATTTAGTAAGTTTTTATTTATATTTTTTTTACTTAGAGATATGTGCTTTATGGAGTAACACTCTATGTTTTCCTCACAACAAGCAAATACAATCGCAGATGGGATGGCAGAGGATTAGAGGGGCATGGCAAGACCATATTTGATGCCCTTGATGACTTTGTGAATGAATTCGCTACATGTTCTTGCGGGCCTCAAGAAAGGACCAAATTTGTGACGACATTACGATATCTTGTAAGTTCGTACAACATCATTTCTTAACAAAATTTATTTAAAAATTAGTTTACAAATTACTCTCAATTCTAAAGACCTAACATTTGCACACACACATGCAATTTATGACAAATTAATTAATCTATTGAAATATACTCATTGTTGATTGATTGACTTTTTTTTTTTACAATGGATTGAAACCTTTGACTCGTGGATGGTGGAGAGAAGATGGAGCTTGACCGGTTACAAACCGTCCATGGACGAATATCTTTTAACCGGCATGATTTCAATTGCAACTCACACGATTGCTCTTCCAACCACAGATTTCATGACCCAAAACTCCACAAACGGATCTTCCGACCCAAACCCAAAATATCACGGCATCACGAAACTGCTCATGTCCCTTTCCCGCTTAGCTAACGACACACAGAGCTATGAAGTACTTAGAAGAAATAAATATCACAAACACTATCTCAAACTTCTCTCTTTTAACAAACATGATCATTTTTTATATTTTTTTTTTCAGAAAGAAAAACTAGATGGAAAGCTGAATTACGTCTTGCTCCATTCGGAGAAAAACCCTAGCACGAGTGTAGCTGATTCAGTTGCCTACATTAGAGGTATTATTCAGGATATAAGGAAGGAATTCGTCGAGCACGTGTACATGGATAGGGATGTTAATGAGTCGTTCAGGAAAATACATTTGTGGAGCATGAAAATATTTCATATGTTTTTTGAATCCGCCAATTTATTCGACAGCGATACTGCGCTTGTGGATGAGATACAGAGAGCCCTTTTTGTTCCAATTGTTCAGAAACCGAAGCCCGAGCCTCTGTTAAGACCCCCTGTACCCTTCACCCCTATAAAGAATGTGAAGAATAAAACCGAGATTCTAGCTAGATTTCGCCCTTTCACGAGACGTTCGGACAACATAGGCTTCATCAGACCATCATTTGTGAAGAATTCAACTTCTTACGTTGGCAGGGAGAGGATGAATGTCAATGTTCCAATACAGTTTAGTTTGTATTTTATTTAATAGTCAAAGGGTTCCTCTGGTTTGGGGGTATCATGTCGGGTGATTTATTTAATTAAAAAAAAAGTGGAGAACAATAAAAAAGAAAAAAAAAAGTGAAAAAAAAAATTAAAATGCCGGATTCTCAGAATCCGTTTTTCAAAAAAAAAATACTTTATTCGAAAAACAGATTTTCATAATCCGTTTTTATTTTTTATTTATTTTTTATTTTTTTATGTATTTTTTAATTAATAATATAAAAAAAAACTTAAAACGGATTTTGAAAATTCGTTTTTATTTTTTATTTATTTTTTAATTAATATTAAAAAAAACTTAAAAACGGATTTTCAAAAAACTTAAAAACGGATTTTGAAAATCTGTTTTTAATTTTTATTTTTATTTTTTTTTTTTTAAAAGATAACGGACGATTACACTATAGTTAACCGAGATTGTACTAATTCGACTTCAATTGGACTAATTCGAGTTCGATTACACTATAATTGGCCGAGATTGTACTAATTCGATTTCAATTGGACTAATACGAATTCGATTACACTATAATTGGCCGAGATTGTATTAATTCGACTTCAATTAGACTAATTTGAGGTATAATTATTATTAATTTTGTTAATGTGTTAGGCAAATATTGGTAAGTTAGGTTTAATTTATTTATTTTATATTAATGTGAATGACTATTATGTCCTTGATGTAATTGTATTATTACGATTGTGCCATCAGAAGTTTTCCTATAAATAGGAGCTTCAGTTATAATGAAAATAGTACCTGAGAAAGAAAGTTTCTATATTCTCTCTTCTATATAGTTTTATTCCTTCATTTTTATAACACGTTATCAGCACGAGTCTCTACATTATATAGCTTAATTTGTAATACGAAGAAGAGTATGCTATACAGTTGCGCCTTATAGAAGATCTTCTGTATTAGAAATCATAAGATTACAAGTCGTCATTGGAAATATTCTTCAAGGTATTTATTTTTACTTCAATTAAAAATAATAAATTTATAATCTCATATCTCATAATGTTTGATATCACTAAAAGAGAATTTGCTGAACTCTCTCTTGATGGAAGTAATTATTTAACTTGGGCCCTTGATGTTGAAATTCATCTGGCCTCGTTTGATTTGAGTGCTACAATTGATTATACATCCAATAGCACTCCCGCCCAGAAGGCGAAATCACTGATTTTTCTACGTCATCATCTTAATAAAGATTTGAAAAATGAGTATCTCACAGAAAAAGAACCCGCAAATCTTTGGAAATCCCTGAAGGATCGATTTGACCAACAAATGGCCATAATTCTCCCTCAAGCACAATTTGATTGGATTAATCTCCGATTTCAGGATTTTAAATCTGTTACTGAATATAATTCAGCTCTCCATCGTATTGTCTCACAGCTTAAACTCTGTAAGCAGAACATTACTGAGTTAGAATTACTTGAGAAAACTTTATCTACCTTTCATGCTAATAACCTTGTACTCCAGCAGCAGTACAGGGCTAAAAATTATGCAACGCATTCTGAGCTAATATCAGCTTTACTAGTGGCCGAAAAACATAATCAATTGTTGATGAAAAATCATAATGCTAGGCCAATTGGGACTCAAGCAGTGCCTGAAGCACATGCAAATATACATGAGAATAATAATAATATGAAAGGAAGAGGTAAAAGATATAATAATCAGCCACACCGTGGTGGTTATGGTCATAGTCGCGGACGTGGTCGCGGTCGAGGTCGAGGTCGCGGTCGTAATAATGTCTGGAATCGAGATGGAGGTCGAGGTAATGGTGTTGAGGAACATAAGGGTCGAAAAGAAAATATTAACATTGATGCTCCACAAGCTAATCAAGACAAGCAAGTTTGTTATAGATGTGGATGTACTGGTCATTGGTCTCGTACATGTCGTACTCCTCGTCACCTAGTCGAAGCTTATCAAAGAACACTAAAGGATAAAAAAGGAAAGACTCCTCAAGCTGAATCACATCACGCTAGTTTGCCTGAAGCAAATTTAGCAATAAATGATGATGATGATTTATTGAAACTCGAGCTGGAAGACTTTTGTGATTTAATATGAAGTATGTCTGAGTACTGGATATTTGGTTTCATTATGGTTTCTATTGTTCCATCAGAAAATTGTGGTTTGTTTGTTTTTATGTTTTCATATGTTGTGTTTTGATTGGGATTGTATCATTATTATGTTTGCTTATAATATTTTATTTTATTTTGACATTGACATTCAATAGTTTGCAAGTCATGGAGAAAGAAAGTATACTATGCCTGGTTGATAGTGCTACTACGCACACTATTTTGAAAGATCGGAAATTTTTTCAAACTTTAAATGAAAAGAAAGGAAGTGTTACTACAATTGCTCAAGATAAAATATTGATAGTAGGCTCCGACAGAGCTTTACTTACTCTTCCTAAGGGTACCGAATTAATAATTAACGAAGCGCTTTTGTACCCTGAATCACAAAGAACACTCCTTAGTTTTAAAGATATCCGATCAAATGGTTTTCATCTTGAAACTAAGACTGAAAATAATATGGAATACCTTCTTATGACTCATTCACAAGGAAGTCAAAAGAAAATTGTAGAAGAACTTCCTTCTTTCTCATCAGGCTTATATCATACTTACATTCGACCTTCTATTAATCATGTTGCATTGAGTTTAAAATTTAAAGACCCGAATTCATTTAAATTATGGCATGAGAGATTGGGTCATCCTGGGCTTAGTATGATGCGTCGGATTATTTCTAACTCTATTGGGCATAACATATCAAACAGCAGCCTCCCTTCTTTTAATGAATTTATTTGTGATGCTTGTGCAAAGGGAAAATTGATATTACGACCTTCACGTACTAAAGTTGGAATTGAATCTCCTATGTTTCTTCATAGAATTCATGGTGATATATGTGGACCAATTCATCCAACATCAGGACCTTTTCGATATTTTATGGTCCTGATAGATGCTTCCACTCGATGGACATATGTGTGCTTATTATCCACTAGAAATCAGGTTTTTCCAAAACTACTTGCTAAAATTATTGAATTAAGAGCTCAATTTCCTGATTATCAAATTAAAACTATTAGAATGGATAATGCCGGCGAATTTACGTCGAAAGTTTTTGATGATTATTGTATGTCATTAGGCATCAAAGTGGAGCATCCGGTACCTTATGTCCACACACAAAATGGTTTAGCCGAATCATTAATTAAGCGCATCAAATTAATTGCTAGACCATTACTACAAAATTCCAACTTACCAATTTCATGTTGGGGACATGCAATTTTACATGCTGCTGCCCTAATTCAAATCCGACCTACTGCATATCATGATTACTCCCCTATACAAATAGTGCGTGGTAAAGAACCTAATATTTCCCATCTGCGAGTATTTGGTTGTGCAGTATATGTTCCTATATCACCACCACAGCGTACATCTATGGGCCCTCATCGAAAGTTAGGTATATATATTGGATATGAATCTCCGTCTATTATTAAATACCTAGAGCCCATGACTGGAGATCAATTTACAGCTCGATACGCTGACTGTATATTTGATGAAACAAATTTTCCGGCATTAGGGGGAGATAAAAGCCCAAACATAAATAAATGCCGAGAAATTTCTTGGAATGTACAAAATTTACAATATTTAGATCCACGCACTAATCAGACTGAACTTGAAGTTCAAAAGATAATTAATTTGCAATATTTAGCAAATAATTTGCCAGATGCATTCACTGATCATAAAGGAGTGACTAAGTCACATGTACCTTCTATAAATGCACCACAACGAGTGGAAGTCCCCAGGAAATATAATATTCCTACAGAGGCTCTACGTCAGAAGCGTGGGAGACCCATTGGTACAAAAGATAATAATCCGCGGAAAATAAAATCTAATAAAAATGTTGAATCACTCCCGAAATCTCCAGAAGAGAATCACCCAGAAGGCGAAAATCCTAGTTTAAATGCACGTGCAGCAAATAATAAAAGTACTAGGATTGCGGAACATCCAGATCAAAATATATTAGGAAATGATGATGATCTGGTAGATGTGAATATTGAAGTAGCTATGAACTTTGTTGATACAGGAGAAACTTATAACAGAAGTAACAAAGTCGTCGACGATACATTTGCCTCTATAATTGCTCTTACCATCTCTAATAATCTGGATCCAGAACCTAAAACAATTGAAGAATGCCGGAAGCGCTCAGATTGGGTAAGATGGAAAGAAGCAATTGAAGTTGAACTAGACTCGCTAAATAAACGAAAAGTTTTTGGCTCTATTGTACGCACACCTCAAAATGTTATCCCAGTAGGATATAGATGGGTGTTCGTACGAAAGATAAATGAAAATAATGAGGTGGTGAGATACAAAGCAAGATTAGTTGCTCAAGGGTTTTCGCAGAGACCCGGTATTGATTTTGATCAAACATATTCTCCTGTAATGGATGGAATAACGTTCCGCTATTTGATATCTCTGGCAGTAAATATGAATTTAGATATGCAGTTAATGGATGTCGTGACTGCATATTTATATGGGTCATTAGACACAAATATATATATGAAAATCCCTGAAGGATTAAAAGTTCCCGAAATAAAGAGAAATGAAACACGCAACATGTACAGTGTTAAATTACAAAAGTCATTATATGGCTTAAAACAGTCGGGTAGAATGTGGTACAACCGGCTGAGTGAGTTTTTGTTAAAAAATAATTATGTAAATAATGATGTGTGTCCTTGTGTATTTATAAAGAAGTCAAAGAATGGTTTTTGTATCATTTCAGTTTATGTCGATGACATAAATATAATTGGCACAAAAGAAGAGCTTGATAAAGCTAGCTCATGCCTAAAGACGGAGTTTGAAATGAAAGATTTGGGTAAAACCAAATATTGCCTCGGCCTGCAGATCGAGCATCTCCCTGAAGGAATTTTTGTACATCAGTCAGCATATTTGGAAAAGGTTTTAGAAAAATTCTACATGGATAAATCTCATCCACTTAGCACACCTATGGTTGTCCGATCCCTTGAAGCGGATAAGGATCCATTTAGACCTAAAGAAGATACCGAAGAAAATTTAGGACCAGAAGTTCCTTACTTAAG